AACAGAATTGGAGGTAGTACAATCCAAATTCATTTCAGAAGCAGGGACATCTAATGCAGCCAACCATGCTGGCTAAGGAATTCTGGGAGCTGAAGTCCAAAGTTGCTACGGTTGGGAAATACTGAACTCATCTCTCCCATTTACCTGTTTGCTCCTCTGCTGTTTTTTTTTTTACCTCATACCTCTGAAAAAATGGGTACCAAGCAAGAGGAGACTCAGCGCCAGGCTGAGGTATGCTAACATCTACCAAGCTATATTCAACCCTTTTCTCTAGAAATTATGCTACAGTTTGGTTAACGGCTCACTTGATGCTGGAACCCATGGACGACTGATTCTGGAAAAGATAATGAGTTACTTTGTTTAAGAAACCTTGGGATAGGGAATAAGAATTTAATTCTGGTGCAGTATCCTTATAGAAGGGCTGTAGCTCTGATCATGAGCAATTAAAATTTAAGTTTCCAAAGACTGTATGGGGGGAGGGGTCATTTGTAATCTCAGAAATATGGCCAATCAGTGCAAACTAGGATATTATAACTTGGTATGTTATCAGTTATAATCGGAGTTTCTATCAGTTCGCCCCGGTTCAGGCGAACCAGTAGCGGCGGCTGCAGGAGGCTCCGCCCACCCATCCGGATGTCATCACGGACACTCTGCGCATGTGCAGAAGCGCCACACGCTCACAGTTCTAAACCAGTAGCGAAGATAAGTGAAAACCACTACTAGTTATAATGTTTGATTATAACATGCCCAACCACATTGAAAGAAAACCAGGTTGTGCAAAGCCGCTATAGACGATGCTGAACTAAATGGAGCAATAATACAGGTAGTCCTTGACTTAGAACCACAACTGAGCCCAAAATTTCGGTTGCTAAGCAGTTGTTAAGTGAATTTTGCCCCATTTTACGAACTTTCTTGCCGCATTTGCTAAGTGAATCACTGCAGTTGTTAAATTAGTAATACATTTGTTAAATGAACCTGGCTTCCCCATGGACTTTGCTTGTCCGAAGGTTGCCAAAAGTGATCACATGACCTTGGGACACTGCAACCGTCAGAAATACGAGTCAGTTGCCAAGCATCTGAATTTTGATCGTGGGGGATTCTGCAATAGTCATTAAGCGTGAAAAACGGTTATGACTCACTTTTTTCTGTGCTATTGTAACTTTGAACGGTCACTAAACAGATAACTGTAGATCAAGGACTACCTGAATTGATATTTAATAAAAGGAAGGAATTACCAGTGAAAGCAAACAATTTAAAAAAAAAACAAGCTCGCTACATTTGTGTATGTATTTGATTTTCAAACAAGAAAAATAAAGCACAAACTTTTCATTCTTCTTAGCAGTTCTGTTTGTTTTCAAAGATACACACTTTGAGTAAATAGCCAGCCTCTATTCAGAGCTCTGCTCTGGATTTCCCCTTTTTTTCTGAACTCCAGATCATTGCTCTTAGAACCCACATTTACTATCCCCAAGCAGAAATGCTAATGCTTCTATACTGAAACCAGTAATGGTTTATGGACCTCTGGTATATATATATATATATATTCTTCTTATGCGACATTTTTCAAGCTTCCCAATAATCTTGTGCATTTACTTGGAAAAAATGTCTACTCAACCGGACGTAAAGAAGAAAGAAAGGGAGAAAAATACCAGAAGCATTTTTAAAAATCTGGAAAAAAACCAGAGGCTTCAGATATATTTGTTCCAGTCTTAGGAGGTCTCGCTCTCTCTTCGAACTCCAAAGAAGTAAACATAACCTGCTGATAAAAGAAAGCTGTGTAATTCTAAGCTCAGCTGGCTCAGTCAATTTGACAATCTGACTTTGATGTTCAAGAAGAACATTCAATTGATGTTGAGAAAGCAGAGATCTGTCCCCAAAGGGAGGAACATTTGAAGGAAAAATGCAGCAACTTCCCTTCTTTTGTATAGCAAGGAATTCTAGTGGCAAACATATGGATAGGGAGCAGAATAACAGCCAAATTTATGTGGGATTAGATTGGAGGCATATGACTTTCTTGAGTGCATTTGTCCAGTCGGAAGGAAAAACCTGGAGAAACATCTAAGATTAGCTCCTTGACAATGGCAGCTTTACCCTTTGTATCACTTAATCCAGTGGCCCCCAACTTTTTGGGCACCAGGGACCAGTTTCGTGGAGAGAGGCTTTTCTGAGGACAGGTGTGTGGGTGTATGTATGGTTTTGCATGCTGCCTGCATCTCGCACATACATAAATGGGGCTTTGTTTGTTTGCACAGCCTGATTTCTGGCATGCCGCAGACCAGGGGTTGGGGACCCCAGACTTAATCCTTAACTTAAAAGCAATTCTTAAATCACTTGGTTGATTTGTGTATTTAACAAGTTGAACCACTAAATGTAATGGGAAGAAGGAATAGCCTTGAGGAACAGAAGGAAGAGCTGCAACCAAGGTAATGGTCAGATAAAAGAATTCTGAGTCTGGCCAAGAATTGTAATTGTGAGAAAGCATCTCAGACAAGGCTCATGCGCGCATGCCTCCTACCGACCAGCTGGTCTTTGGTCTCTGCTGAACATATGTGGGGGGCAAGGTACGTGCATGGGGGCTGTACATGCATGTGTTTGGGTGGGGTGCATGCGTGGGGGCTGTTGCCCATGCATGGGGGTGGGACGCATGCGTGAGGGTGGGGTGTGCATTGCATTTGGGGGGTTCAGGTGCATACATACATGCTTTGGGAACTCAGTCCGGAAAAGGTTTGCCATCACTATCCTATAGCATTGAGATTCATTTGCCACTGTTTTTCTTCTATTTTTTTTTTTTTAGGTCGCACACCTTCTGACATATCTAGTCCACAAACTATTCTAAATGTTCCTTTCCCCTTTGTATTTGAAGAAGGACCACTGATCTGGTTGATTCAGGGCATTATTTCTGAATTCTGGTTAGCCAGTCTATATTTGCCCAAAAACAAATATCCATAAATACAAATATACAAGCAAATTTCAGAGCACAGAGTAGCTCGGGGGAGAGGGATTGTACTTAAAATGGGAGGAGGATAGTGAGGACCACATTGGGGTAAGATGAAAAATAAGACAAGTCTGGATTTTTGAGCTGAGGGGAGAGTGAGGGTTGAAGGCAGTAGCTGTTATTTAAACCATTAAGCCTATTTTAGGGCTTACGTATCATTTCCCATCTTTCCCACCACACAATGGTGGGACACTATGGTACAATTTTTGGCAATTTTGGTGAACAAATCATTGAGGGCCAGACCGAAAGGCCTCAGGGGTACTTCAGTTTGCCCAACTCTGCACTAATCCAAGATTCTAATGCACATCCAAAATATCTGAAAAAGGGCCCTATTTAGTAAATACTCAACTGCCATGTTCTGAGAGTCAGGGAAAAAGCCTACCATGCCTACTAAAGCAGGCATGTCTACTCTGTCTCTGTGTGGATACTCAAAAGACAATGGTTGCCCAGGAACATACAAGGTTATATTCCAGAATAGCCCAAGCTTAGTAAATCAAACCTAGCTAAAGTCATCCGTACCCCTTAAGTAGACCTGGCAGGATGCAGCTCCATTGGCCATGCTGCAAAGTCATTTCTATTATTATTCTCTTTCTCTTTAAGCAGTTTGCCAGGAAGATATTAGTCACAGTATGTTTTACATAATGGAAAATAAATATTACAAATGTTTATATTAAACCCTGTCATTACTAGACACCACTCCACACACCCCACCCCACCCAAAAAAAAAAAGAATCAGAGGAGAGAACCTTTATACCACGCAAGGCAGGAATTCATATCACTAATTCTGATTTTTTTCCCCCACATTTCAACATTTAAGAAATTAAGTCTTGGGTTTACCTGGTATCATGTTTTAACAAGTGACCAATTCTGAATATTTGACCTCAAACTCCTGATATCTTTTAACTACTGGCAGTAACAACTGGGGGTCATGGAAGTTTAAATTCTGTTTATCTACAGATTTAGGAGTTATTTTAACTAACCTTTCCTTATTGTGAAAAAAATGTATATTAATTTCTCTCTGTATGCAAACATACGTTTATAAACTCACACACACAGTAATAAACAAACTATCCAAAACTACTGGAAGATTACACTTGTGGCTACCCATAGTACAAAATATTTGTCATTTATATCTTAGATTTTTAAGAGTGTCTATTTTCAGAGACCAGATTTCAATCAGAATAGAACTGGAATGGACCTTGGAGGTCTTCTAGTCTAACTCCTTGCTCAAGCAGAAGACCCTATACTATTTCAAACAGGTTGCTGTCCATTCTCTTCTTAAAGACCACCAGTGATGAAGCACCCACAACTTCGGAAGGCCAGCTGTTCCACCAGTTAATTGTCCTTACTGTTAGGAAATTTCTCCTTATCTGAGAATGTATAACTGCATTTGTGTTGTGTTTATTTCTGAAGGAAATTAAGCTATTTACATAATAGAGATATCCTTTGATCTGAGTGCTAAAAGGGATTTTGGAATTACAATCAACTGTTTATGAATTGTATTGGGTGAAATATAAGAAGCTGACTTACGTCACTTCTAAATTGATGTGTTTTGCATATCCCTAATTAGTCTGGTCTTTTGAATTTATGATACTAGATACAGTAGATAGGAACATGGTCTCTCTAATACAAATCACTCCCCCGCAGTTGATATCAGACCTCTTAAGTGGAGTAGACAAGAATGAACCTTGGAATTTCTGAATGCAAAATGTATCTTTTCCTGTTGAACTATATGGGGTATCTAAGCTTTGCTAAAATAGTTTGCAAAAAAAGCAAACTGGGATTGATTCAATGGCATTCAAACTTGCTCTGTCAAGTCTGACTTATCTTTTATAAATGGGATACCACTGAGTATTTTTATAAAGGCCAATGTCCTGTTATATAAATACAGCTTTTTTTCTGGAGAGTTACCAATTTTTAAGGGAGCATGCTCTAATTACTTTGTTTATTAGATGTGCAGTAGAATTTATGAATCAGATTCAGCCACCAAATTGATAGTACTAACCTCCATCCACAGCCAGGCCAAGTACATGCAAATGGTTTTTCCCCTGTGTGCCTTCTTAGATGGGCTTTCAAATGGCTGCTTTTAGTGTACATCTTGGTACATCCAGGAAAAGTACATTTGTGCATTTTAATGAGTTCTGCTGCAGGATTCTTTTGAAACTTTTGACCCATGATGACTCCAGTTTGACCCTGGATTGTACCTCCTGGACCAATAGGTTTTGCAGCTATCGGAACTGGAGCTATGCGGACAAATTTGGAAGATGAGTTCAAGTTGGATGATTGAACAAGTTGTGGCACCAGTGCAAAAGTTTGCCCTTGGATGTTGACCAAGAGCTGTGCAATTTTAATGTTTTCTTGCACTGATCCTTGTGAACTAGGGCTCACATCTGACGGTTGCTTAACCTGAACTGGCTGGATCTGGAGCATGACTGGTATCCCTCCATCAAGGGACACTGCTCCGTTAGATGTATGGCTGCCTTCCATTGCACCATCTGATTGTTCATTTTTACTGTCTTTTAAAGTAACACTTGGTACCATCTGGTCTTTTTGCTGTATGGAAGCTACAGTGATTTGGCTGCAAGCTCTCATGTCTTTGGTCTCACTCTTAGGTCCTTCTTTGAGATCAAGCTCCATGTTTTCTTCCAAAAACTCCTCTATCTCCTCAAGGGTAGGCTGGAATGGTCCGGAATCTTCCATCTCCACTGTGAACTCTGGAATTCTAAAATTCTCCTCCTTCACAATGGGCTGAAGTCTCCTTTTATCCCACCAAGAAGCATGGCCATTCCCCAGAGATGCCTGGGACAGCAAGTAGTCTAAGATACTGTCCTGATTCTCAGCACTTGATGAACTCCCATAGCTGGAGCCTAGAACCTGTGAATCTGGGCTCGAACAAGAACAAAAACTTGAGGAATCGCTGTCATCTTCAGACACTGGGGAAGGCAGCATTTGGTATGACCTCCCAACAGCTGTCATGTCCCCAAAGTATCCAATTGAGGGCCTGGTGGATGAGAAAGATTCATCCGCAGGAAGCAAGTGATCCACCATTCCTGGATAATCTCTTTACGCGTGTCCCACCAGCATGTACCAAATGAGTGAAAACCTGAATGTGGGAAACACAAACATTGACAGTCAGAAACCAGAAGTAATTGTTCATCCCAACACGCTGAAACCGTATAGCTTGATTTAGAATGCTTACGGAGTGCAGCACATGTTGCTACATGTTTTGATCTAGTTTGTATCACCCAAGAGGATTTCTTGAGTGCTTGAAAGCTTTCTTCAAGATTGCACCGCATGCTTACAAAAGAATTATCTCCCCAAACCATTTCATAACTATACATTGACGACTGTAGATTTACAGTCAGCTTTCTTTTCAAACGTTTGTTGGCAAAAAGATAAAGAGTTCTATATTTGTAGCCATTAATCCTACAAATAAAGTTAAAGAATACGCAGAGGGAACAAAAAAAAAAAAAAAAAGAATACAGAGTTTTTCTCCCATCCCTGAATTTCTTTATAAAATAGAGCATTTATCCCCAAGGAAGCCGTTTTCTATCCGCTGCAATTTTTATTCTTTCACATATACAAATATAGGCTAATTACTGTGTAAAAGCAAGGTTCAAAATCGCAGGAGCTAAAAATATTGGCTGGTCTTCAAGAGCAAATAAACCATAGCAATTTTCCTTCCTTAGATTAATGAATCAAGCTTTTAGCATTAATATCTTCAGTGCTGGTCCTTATAAAGTTTTGAATCAAGCAGGATTCCTCAGTTACTATATTTCTAGAGGTAGAATCCATTTTTTTTTTTTGCTGTGCCAGCTCTCCTCTCCAATAAATAAGTAAAGATTATGAACAACAAAAAAAATACATTCATTTTTTTTTTTTACTCTCCTTTGCAACATTTGGCCCGACTACAAGGTCATTGTTAAATGGCGCTGCCGCTCACTGCCTGCATTAGTGAATATTTATCATTTGCAAACACTGCCGTAGAATGATCAAAACCACATTCCATTTCTAAATTTGGTTTAGAATTAGTCCTTCATTCAGGTTTTAGATTTCAAAGCCTTGCAACCAATCCAGTCAGCTGGGTGCTGCCATCCATCAATTCATTCAACTTCAGCATCTCTGCAAAGCCCAGCGTTCAAGGGAGGGGGAAAAAATCACTCACAGACATCCATTCTACTCATCAAAGCAGAATTCATAAACAGGCGTTTGTTACGTTCAGATGGAAGCATAAGCTGAAAAATGTCTCCAACCAACCCTTTCCCAGGTTTTCATCCTAGTCAACTTTGAACTGGTTGAACTACTCCAGACCCTATTGCAGAAAATACAACTTCAGCAATAGAGTGGTCAATGCCTGGAATGCACTACCAGACTCTGTGGTCTCATCCTCAAACCCCCAAAACTTTAACCTAAAACTGTCTACTGTTGACCTAATTCCTAGGTCATTCCTAAGAGGTCTGTAAGAGGCGTGCATAAGAGCACCAGCATTCCTACCGTCCCTGTCCTACTGTTCCCTTTAATTGTATTCATTTTATGTATTCAATTCATAGTTATACTTATATATATTATCTAATATGTACTCGACAAAACAAATAAATCTTCAAAGAACCAGAAAATAAACAAACAAACAAACAAAGGATTTTATGAACACACTGAAGAATATACATGTTTTTACGGAAGCTATGATGGTTGTAGAGGGAAATTTTTGGGTCTGCATTTGCAAGGCATGCAGGGAGACAGACAAGAGTTAGAGAAGTTGTATTGTAAAAAAAGCCTGTAGTCTACCCTAAAAGAAAAAGAAAATCTGAATGTTTGCATTATTTTTTAACCTGGTCTTCTACTATTGCTGCTATGACTACTTGTCGTCCAAGGAAAGGAAAATCATATTCACATAAATGATACAATTTATTCTGCATTCTTAACTTCCCATTCTTTGCTTCATCCCATTTGAAGGAAACACATAGAAGATAAATGAGTAATTTAGCAAGAGGTATTTTTCACTTACTCCCTCAGGAGCCATCTGCCAGCATTCCACAGAGCATCCAACGGAGTACAAGTACATTTCTCTGAGAAAGAGCTTTTTGAATGATCTGGAGCAGGGATAGTTTGGAAGAAAAAGCACTAATCGGCCTGCCACTGCACACTTTAAACACAAATGCCAGGCTTCTCTTTTGTTTAACAGACAACATTTATGAAGTGCTCACCAGTGGTGGGTTGCCCCCGGTTCGTACCGGTTCGCAAGAACCAGTAATAAAACTGGTGGGAGGCTCCGCCCACTGACCCCGGTGCACGGTCCCGTTGCGAACTGGTAGTAAAGGTAAGTAGAACCCACCCCTGGTGCTCACATATATAGAATAGCAGGAAGCTCAAGCAAAAGTTAGAGCCCATGTTGCGTGACTAGCCCAGAAAAAGTTTGAACAGCAAAATTAATTCCTCACAACACTGATTTGAATGTTTAGAGCCAAAGCAAGCCAGTTACATTGGCAGCAAATACTTCAAAATTTTCTCCTTGGTTCCACAAACATTATCTCATAATCCTAGTTGCGTCTCACTCAGACAGAAGTCTTTTGGGACCCATTCCCAGTATATGTACATTGGATTGCAGCTTTAATCCGTGTACTCACTAAATTTAATTAGCCTAAGCTTTAGTTAAATCACTACTATGGCAAATGTTCTATTTGCATGTTTGGAACTAGGAGAATATTTGTATATTTGTTCAGGCTGTTTGATGCTGGTATATACAGTGCTGGCATTCCCATAACACTGTACCCGGTAATAATCAATTTGAATGCTTTTTTAAAAATCTACCATTGAATTTATATTGAATTGAACAATTCATTCTTTGACAAGTAGATGACTAGGTAGGCAAGTATTGCATCAATTTATAAAAACTGGTACTTGAATTTACTCAAGAAAGAAAAGCCAGGTCTACCAATACACTTGAACAAGCCCACAAATTGGATATACGAATATCTTTCTCCCTCTAGGAAACTTGATTTGTGTAAAATGCAAAAAAAGCCACAACGATTGCAAGTGATAGAACTGGAAGTTTCAGTTTTATGCACCGTTGTTCTTCTGACCATTTCTGGTCAGTTGAAGATGAAACTCTTCCAATACTTTGGCCACACTGGCTTTTCCAGAAACATATTTAGCCAAACAAATCAGAACTTGAGAAGAGACGTGTTCTTTGCTTTTAGTTAAAGTGATTTAAGTGAATCCAGAGAGACCCAAGTTCAAATCATACCAGAAAGCTATTCTAGCCCACCCATAAAGAGCCCAGCAAATTGCTTTGCTTTTTCTTTTAGGAAAGGTAGAACTATTTTACTTGGGCAGCAGGGAGAGGGAGTTCAACAGTTTTATTTCTGCTTTTTTGAAGCCGCAATTTTCTGGACTGGAACTGTTTGTAATATCCTGATGCTTTTGGACTGTGCTTTTAAAAATTGTGTAATTATTATTTATTGGGTAAATTCTTTCTGATCATTCCAGTAGTACATTATGCAGGGTAGCCAAAAATAAAATTAAAATAATTAAACAGAAAATATACTCTAAAATATACTACAGTAAAATATATTGGATGTCTTCCTTTTTATATTAACATTAATTCCTTTTCTGCAGGGGACACAATATTTATAAACAAATAAGTAACTATTATACAGCATCACCGTTTGGCCTAGTTCCAAGGCTGCAATCGGACCTAGGATTAGGCAGCACACTCACATCCAAGGTTAGAAGTGCCATTCAGCCTCTTCGTGGAACAGATCTGATGTCATGAAAAGACAAGAAATTGCTTATTGGCAATGAGAATGATAATTGCATTGACGCTATCAAGGAAGGATGGGCTGCTGGTGGGATTTTAGTCTTGTAAGTTTTTCCCTTTGACCAATAGGGAGTGATGTGTAGCTCTACCCAAGGGAATAAACTAACTTGGGTCCTTGGGATAACTCCTTACTTACGTTTTGTGGGCATATGAAGTGACACATATATTTTGACAAAACTGGAATAGGGCAAGCCAAGCCAAAATCCCCAAATGTTTAGCGAATGTATAACTGGGCAATATTTTCCCAACTTGAATCTTCTCAGCTCCAAATATTTAAATAGCAATAGCTATAGCACTTATATACCACTTTATAATGCTTTACAACCCTCTCTAAGCGGTTTTAGAGTCAGCACATTGCCCCCAACAATCTGGGTCCTCATTTTACCAACCTCAGAAGGATGGAAGGCTTAGTCAACTTTGAGCCTGGTGAGACCCGAACTGCCAAACTGCTGGCAGTCGTGATCAGCAGAAGTAGCCTGCAGTACTACATTCTAACCACTACACCACTGCGGTCCGTAGGAGCATTTCTTCTTCATATTTTACTGAGACTATTCTACCCAGAGCTAGAGACTCCTACAGCATAACTCTTTCCATTTCTAAATAGAAGGATTGAATTAGAAGGCTAAAAAGCAAGGTTAAACGGGTTGTGACTTTAAGCCCCCTGTTTTGTATTGTGATCACTGGATCTACTGTAGGAAACAATGGCACATCCAAACTGCCATGCAACCAGTGAAGAGATGTACACTGGAGAAGGGAAGCATCTATGCCCATAAAAAATGCAGAGCTCAGCAGAAGAGTAGAGAAAGCAAAGAAGATAGAAAGTTCCTTTGTAAAATTTTAAGCTTCCTCAACCGGGTGCCTCCAGATGTTTTGGCTTCATCTTCTTACACTGGTTGGCATGTCCAACACATCTAAAGAAATCCTAGCTGGAGAAGGAGTTCCCTTCTCTCATTTAAAATAGAATCAAGAATGATAGCGAAGTTCAGCGTTTCTGAAGAATGTGATATTAGCAAGATATATGAGAGGGCAGATGGAATACTAGCCGAGACTCTGAATGAAAAGTATGCTTTCTAATTAAAGCTCAGCTATTCTTCGTCTTTCGTTTACCATATCAGCGGGAGCCCCCAGGACTATCTTGCTCTAGAAACATGAACTTAGGGTAAACATACTACTCTATGATGCAGAGTTTAGTAAAAGGATGCAGGGCTTTAAGCCACTTCCCTTTCCCATCAAAGCAGTCATTTAGTGCAGGTTCAATTCTGGATACTGCAGGAATGCAAATGCAA